CCATTCCTTTCTGCTCTCTGGAGAATGGATTTCCCAAGATTGAGCCTTGCCCAGTGTCTTTGAATGATTTGTTTGAGCATTCAATAGAGGGCAGCAGCAGCTGCGGCCTGTGAGAGCGAACATTGCTGTTTATTGCTGAAGCGTGTATACCAACTGCCTGTTTGTGATTAGAACAGGGAGCAGAGCCTCAGAGGCATGGCCAGTGTTGGAGGTGATTTTCAAACTGAGCTCTGTCCTGCCACAGCTAAAGAGTTATGGATCTTGGCAGAGCATATGCTGCATTTTAGCCACGGTGAGTCAGTCTGTGAGTCAGATTATCCATTTGTCTGTTCCAAATGCCTGTCAAATCCAATCTCAGGAACATTATTAGGAAAATGTGTGCAATGGGAAGGAGTGGATAAAGCCATTCTTTATCTTATTTTGTCCAAATTCTGGGAGTTAGAACAAAAATATTTAAGGAAACACAGAATTGCCAGCACTAGCTAATTCTTCTTTCAACTCTTAACGCCTTCCTGTCTCTCATCTGTGGTTTTTATATCTAATTTCTTCTATTTTTCTTTTTATATACTTCTTAAGCGTTTCTGTAGTGCTTCCCTCCTCATTAACCACTGTTCCCACCCTAGTTTCTTCCTGTGTTAAAATCAAAACTTGCATAAGAGCAGGTTTCGTATGATTTTTTTTTGGGTGGCACAGTAGTTACCACTGCTGCCTCACAGCGCCGGGGTCCCAGGTTCGATTCCACCCTCGGGCAACTGCCTTTTATGGATTTTGCACATTCTCCTGGTGTCTGTGCAGGTTTCCTCCGGGTGCTCCGGTTTCCTCCCACAATCCAAATATGAGTAGGTTAGGGTGGATTGGCTGTGCTAATTGCCGTAGTGTCCAGGGATGTGCAGGTTAGAAGTTACAGGGAGGGTAAGGGGGCGGTGTGTCTGGGTGGGATGCTCTTCACAGTGTCATGCAGAATCAATGGGCCGAATGGCCTTCTTCCAGAAGAGGGATTCAATGATTCTCTCATTTTGGCATCTCCAGCAAATTCAAAGTTACTACCTACAGACTGGTCAGCTTTTCTCTCTTGAAGCCTTTACCAGGATCTCTGACAATGGGAATCTTGCCTCCCTCTGTTTTTCCTCTCGCACACTCCATGGAAGCTTAGCATTAACATCTGCTGGTTGGATTTTCCTATATCCAACATTCCCTTTGGTCCTCTGTTAGCAATCTAACCCTGGGTATTCCTTGCTGGAGTCTGTACACATGGGGTGGCAAGTGAGGGCAGTCATATTCTCAACATTTATATCACATACCCATTGTCCAACATATAGATCACATTCTGTGACAGAGGAGAATCCAGCACTGAGGGAACCGCAGCCCAATTACAGCGATATCACTGCTAGTGTCTGAATGTTAGTGATGCCTGAGGAATGTGGCAGTTGCATAGAACTGAATCTTCTGCTTTCAACAAGCTCACCAGCAATAATTCATGAAACAAGAGTGCTTCAGAGGTCAGTCCTCCAGCTTCCTGCTTGTCAGACAATAGACTTTCCTTCAGATGATGCAGTCAGCCTGGTCTTAAACTCCAGAATGATGACAATGAGGGATACAATTTAAAAATCTTTAAAGTTCAATCCACACCGATCAGTTATGATGTCAGGAAGCATTTCCCTACATAAAGAAGAGTAGAAATCTGCAAAACTCTCTCCACCAACCCCCCAGAAATAAGCTGTTGAGACAGGAGGTCAACTGAAAGTGTCAAAGTTAAGACTGTTAAAAATAAATTGTTTGAAAAAGATTATGTAACCAAGTCAGAAGGTGGAGTTCAACCATGATTTAATTGAGTGACAACTGACTTAAGGCATAGAAAGGCCTCCCCTGTTGCATTGGTCTGAAATGATGTGATTACCGAGTGACTAACGAATGAAATAATTCTAATCTATGGGGTAAATTAAAGGGATTGGTGTCTTTGAGGAATTGGGTAATGAACACTCAGTATCCCAGAGTCTGTGGAATGTGTTGTTCAAGCAGTTTCTGTTAGGACCTGTTCCAACACAGCTCCTGTCTGTAATGAGAACACCCCTTTAAAAGCAGAACCCTTATCACCGGAATGAAGTACATGTTGTGATTAGAAAGGAATGTGTGGAATAATGGCAGGAAGCTGGACGGACACATTAACTCACTCGCTTTCTGATTTAATCTACAGCTGCCTGGTTCTGAACTGAAAGCCCATCAAAGGCCACCCCAGCCAATCCTTCGAACTGACATTAATAAAGATTCACTCGAAAAGCTTAACATTTATTGCACTTTTCACGATCTCCATGTCCCAGAGCACTTAATATGCTGTGTATTATATACACTGAAGTGCAGTGATTTGTTGGGGATGCAGCAGTCAATTGCACACAGCAAGCTCCCACAGATAGCAATGTGATAGATGATCAGGCCATCTTATTTAAGTAATATTGAGAGGTTAATATTGTCCTCATACTCCCTTTTCCACTTTGAATACTAGCACCTCTGGCAGTGTCCTTAGTGCTGAGCTGAGACACTCAGCTTTGGTCTTTTTTAACGTTCTAGTCACCAGAGTGGGCTTTGAATGCACAACCTTCTGACTCCACAGCGAGAGTGTCATTGAAATGCAGCTACTTCAGAACGTAGGGCTCAGGGAGCTGAATGCACAGTGGAGTGTTTTTACATTCAGGGATATGTAAAAATTAGAATTATTATTGGATAATTCTTAGCACTGTTGACCGTTGGATATCACCAGGCGATGACATTTGATCTTCTGGAAATAGTGTCATGGAACTGTCCACTTGAGTGCGAGTTTAATGTCTCTTCCAAAATATCATACCATCAACACAGGACCTGACAGATCCAGCAAGTGCTAATCGCCAGCCTCCACTACGTTGAGCCTCCCATTTCAGGTATCTTTCAGCCCCCAACATCCCAGGGTTAAGGAAGAGGGAAGTTCACCGGTGTTCCTGCTCCTTATAGCAATGCAGTGAAAGATTGGGATGCCATCACAGTCGAACATCCCTGATTGTTTTAAAGTCTCATGCTTAGGCGTGATGCTGCCAAAACTCCAGGACATTGCTGCTCAACACCTTTAGGAGAGAAAAGCAGATGAGACAAAAGGGGAATGTTTTCAGACGAGAACAAGCAAATGATTGTAAGACAGGCTTGGCTGATTTACTGTGTACTTTAATTATGAATCAATTATACACGATAACTCATTTGTTGTAACGAAACAAGACACAGATCAGACAGGGAAAATAGTGAGTAAAACCACACAAAGCAATGATAGCTACAGTGTATCTGTCTACAGTGAGTGAAACATAAACCATGATATTGTTGAGAATATATTTTAATAAACATAATATATGGAAAGTTTAAACTTTTGACTCAGAACAGACTGCATCAATAGTCTTCCTGCAAGAGTTAATTAGAATTACTTCAAACTACACTTTAAATCAAAGAAAGAACTTATCTCCTCATCCCTCTGACACACACCTTTCTATGGAAGGTGTAAAATGGATTCCTGCACCATTTACAGTAACAGGGATGGTCGAAGTAAATCGTACAGATGAATTTAAGCTGGACAAACAAATGAGGGAGAAAGGAGTCGTGGGTTTTGACAGTTTTAGATAAGAAAAGGTAGGTGAAGGCTGGCATACACCTTAAGCATTGGTGTGAAAGTAACAAATACTGAAGATCATAGCAGGTCAGACAGCATGGAGACAGCAAGCTAACATTTCGAATCTAGATAACCCTTCATCAGAGCTGATAAGCACTGGCATGAACTGGTTTGGCCGAATGGCCTGCTCTGATTTGTGTAGCCCATGGAGAGGGTTAACAAATGGTTTTTCAGAATGTTGACAGGAATGGAGGATTTGAGTTATCTGGATAGGCTGTGACTTTGTTCACTGGAGCGTAGGATATTGCAGGGTGACCTTATAGAGGTTTATAAAATCATAACCATAGACAGGGTTAATGACTAGGGCCTTTTCTCTAAGGTGGGGAGTTCAAAACTAGGGGGGTGGGGGGAGACATTTTTAAGGTGAGAGGAGAAAGTTTTAAAAAAGGACGAGGGGCAACATTTTTACACACAGTGGTCCATGTGTGGAATGAATTTCCAGAGGAAGTGGTGGATGTGGGTACAGTTACAACATTTAAAATACATTTGGATAAGTACATGAATAGGAAAGATTTGGAGGGATATGGGCCAAATGCAGGCAGGTGGGACTAGCTTAGTTTGGGAATGTGGACTGGTTGGGCCAAAGGGTTTCCATGCTGTATGACTTTAGGACTTTATGACTTTATGTAAACTGATGAACACATTAAGAATATCTGAGCCTCCAGTAATTGAAGATTAATATCCAAAACAAAAACAGCTTTTTAAAAAAAAACTCTTTAAACACTGTTCATCGTGTTTAAAAAATGGTCTGAGAACAACATCCCAAAGAGTCAATATTCCTTCAGAGAGCTTGAAAGGATTAATATTCTCAAGACAATATTCCATTCTGTATGAGTCAGAAAAACAATTATTTTTCTCCTCCTCAGTACAGATTAATAATTTATCTTTAGAAGCTCTTCACCAATGTCCCTTCTAAGCTGCGTGATCACACAGGAACCCAAAATACAGGCTGTTCCCTTGTGTACACAGCCATGCAAACAAAATTAAGGGCCATGCGCGTAATTCCTCCAGGCAACTCCAAAACCAAAATTCGAGAGTATCTCAGTCTTCACCTGAAATATCTTCAGACAATCTGATCATTACAGGTCTTTTCCCCAGGGTACAGGAGTCCAAAACTTGATTTAAGGTGAGAGGGGAAAGATTTAAAAGGGACCCAAGGGGCAACTTTTTCATGCAGAGGGTGGTATGTGTATGGAACGAGCTGCCAGAGGAAGTGGTGGAGGCTGGTACAATTACAACATTTAAAAGTCATCTGGATGAGTACATGAATAGAAAGGGTTTAAGAGGGATATGGGCCAAAGGACGGCAAAACGGTCAAAAAAAATTTAGGATATCTGGTCGGCGTTGACGAATTGGAGCAAAGGGTCTGTTTCCGTGCTGCACAGCTCTATTATTATTGTTCCATGTAATACTTTGATGTCATGAGGGGAACAGTTTGTGAAGGTTTTGGCCAAATAAATCCATTTCTGGCAGGCAAGGGACTGAAAAAGGCTGAGACAGCAGGACCCCGAAGATTGAATCAGTCAAACAAGGGGGATGGGTTTGTTTGGGCCTGACAGAATTTACATTCCAACAGAGTGTTTAATTCTTAACTCTCTGGTCTGTTATAGGTCTTGATTCAACCTGCAGTGCTCTCTGAGCTGAACTGTTTTCTTTGAATTAGTTTTGCTTATTAATCATAAAATTAATGGAGGTGAGGGAATATTAGCCAACAGCAAACCAGATAAAGGTGAAATACGCAGTGAGCAGATATTCTTGGATGGCTAGTTTGTTCAAGGGTAAGCTGCAGATGCCACTTATACCAACCTGTGTGAGGGGCAGGTTTTATGAATTTGCTCTTTGGTAGTTCAAGGATAAGCGATCAGAAGTCTTGCACAACTTGCTACACATTGGCATTTAAGATGAACCCTGTATCCAAAGCACCAGAGCCAGTGTTAACTCATATAATATCGATACAAATGTGTATAAGCACTCTTAAACGTATGATATTTCCATAGCACTTTACAAACATCAACATATCCTGCATCTTCCATTTGAGGGAGACATTACAAGTTGGTAAATGTGTGTTTCTTAGTGATAGGGGGCTGAGATTATTCCACAGTGGAGAAGTCATGCTCCTGAGCTATGCAAAGAGGCTAGCACACTCAAGTATTCAAGTGAGAGGAATGAACACGTTGTTAAATAACTAATCTTGGTCTTCAGACCAAATCATGGTCCTGGAACAATGCCACAGCCACAGGAACAAGGAGCTAGAGTGATTCTTATTTGGAATGGTCTTTGATTGGGGTTGAGGAGCTAAATTACTTGGAGCCTACTAGATATTGTGATGGGTGAATACATTTAGTCTGCTGTTGTTCTTTGCTGAGGATAGATGTGAGGCATCACAGACCACATATGCACAGTAAAATAGGTGTTAAAGTGCTTTCTGAATAATTACTGCGAACTCTGAGGAAATTGGACAAGCAAGACAGATGTTGTTTGGTGCTACAGAAGCTAGACGCAATAGCTGTTACATGAGAAGCAGCCAGAACAATGTGCGAGTGACAATTATATAGTGAAGAAAGGACAGTTTCAGTCCCTGAAATATTGTGCTTGAACCATAATATATTATAACCCAGTTGGTAAAGCCTTTTAAGCAACAAGAGTCCAACTTGAGTCTATGACCCTGGAGACAGTTGGGATTAGCGCCACTGAATAATTCAAGAGAGGATGAATTCACTGACGGGCCAAATGAAATAATTTCCCCTATTGGTTTGGTTTAACAGTAGCTAAGGAATCCAACCCTCCCCATCCTTCATTTCCATTCAGCCCAATAGTTCCTCCTGTCTCCAGAACATAGTCTGCTGCAATCAATGGGATTATCAAACTCCAAACTGAATCAATTGGCCCCAAGAACGAATGGCCTTTCCTCTTTGCCTGTTACTCAGCAGATCCCACCTGCCGCCTCTTTGACGGAGGGACAAGGTAACCAGGTAACACGGTGGGAAGCCCGTGGCCATCCAGCTTAACCTCAATGAGATGATTGGCCAAGGCAAATTCTTCATCATCCAGCATTCCATCCTTATCGACATCGGAAAGTTTCCAGATCCTCCCAAGTACAGAGTTTGGCAGCTTGGTCGTGATCATCCAATTCTTGGCCTTTACCCCATTGATCTTGCCATCCATTGGTGATAGATTGTAGAAAATTTCATCATACTTTGGCTTGTCCTTCGTGACAACCCATTCGTCATCGTCATCTGCTGCCTCACAGGTTCCATCCACAATGCCTTCGACGAATGGCCCATTGGAGGTCCCATCAAATGCACCACCATGGACCAACTGTTCTGGCATCTCCATCTCCTCTTGTCTCACCAAAGGCATCAGCTTAGCGACATCATAGGTGAGCATATGATCCAGCTCATTCATCATCTTGGGCTTGAGGGAAGGGAACTTTGAGAAGTCATGGACCCGGAGCTGCTCCTGAAGAACAGATACATTCATTTGTGTTAGTGTGAGTCACACTCATTCAGACCACCCATACCCCGACCCAACATCACCCCACCGCAACAGAGGCAGAGTTACATCCTCCTAACATCATCCTGAGTCAGCTCATCCGTTCACCAGAAATCCACATTCATGTCTTGCTTGTCTCTAGACATTGCTAATACGAGCAGGCTATTGGCCCTTCAAGCCCACTCCAACATGCAAATTGATCATGTGTGATCATTGAGATCAGTACCCTGTTCCCAATTTCTCCTAGATCTTTTGATCCTTTTAGCCCAAAGAATATCCGTATCCTATTTGAGACTGGGGGGTAGTGGTTAGAGGAAACTGACAGGAGACAAAGAGTAGGAAGAATGACAATAAATGATCATGTGTTCAGAAGAGACTTACCAGGATGTTGCCAGGACTGGAGGGTTTGAGTTATGGGGAGAGGCTGGTTAGACCGGGACTTGCTTTCTGTGGAGGCTGAGGGGTGACCTTATAGAGGTGTATATAAGGTGAATGGTAGGTGTCTTTTCAGTAGGTGGGGGGCATATTTTTAAGGTGAGAGGAGAAAGATTTAAAAAAGACATGAGGGGCAATTTTTTACATGGAGAGTGGTTCGTGTGTGGAATGAACTGCCAGAGGAAGTGGTGGATGCGGGTACAGTTATAACGTTTAAAAGACGCTTGGATAAGTACACGAATAAGAAATGTTTAGAGGGATATGGGCCAGGAGCAGGCAGGTGGGACTAGTTTAGTTTGGGATTATGGTCGGCATGGACTGGTTGGACTAAAGGGTCTGTTTCTGTGCTGTATGACTTCATGACTATCAATGGACCTTTTTCCATGTAACAGGCAGTGACTAATGGGGTCCCACAGGGATCAGTGCATGGACCCTAGCTATTCATAACATATCCTAATGATTTAGATGAGGGGACTAAATGTAATGTCTCCAACTTTGCAGATGACACAAAGCTGGGCGGGAGGGTGAGCTATGAGGAGAATGCACAGAGGCTTTAGTGTGATTTAGACAAGCTGAGTGAGTGGGCAAATGCATGGAGGATGCAGTACAGTGTGGATAAATGTGAGGTTATCCACTTTGGTAATAAAAACAGGAAGGCAGACTATCTGAATATTGACAGATTGGGAAAAGGGGAGGTGCAACGTGACTTGGGTGTCCTTGTACATCAGTCACTGAGGGTAAGCATTGAAGGTACAGCAGGCAGTGAGGAAGGGAAATGGTATGTTGGCCTTCATTGTGAGAGGTTTCAAGTGCAGGAGCAGGGGTGTGTTGCTGCAGTTATACAGGGCCTTGGTGAGACCACACCTGGAGTGCTATGTGCAGTTTCGGTCTCCTTATCTGCAGAAGGATGCTCTGGCTATGGAGGGAGTGTAACAAAGATTTACCAGGCTGGTTCATGGGCTGGCAGGACTGATGTACGAAGACAGACTGGAGCAGTCAGGACTATAATCACTGGAGTTCACAAGAATAAGGGTTGATCTCACTGAAGCCTATAAAATTCTAACAGGGTTATGACTCTATGACTCAATCAATGACTAGACTAGATAAATGGAAGAAGGATGTTCCCGATGACCAGCGGTCACAGTCTAAGGATACAGTGTGGGTCATTTAGGACTGAGATGAGGAGAAATGTCTTCACCCAGAGCATGAGAAGCCTGTGGAATTCTCTACCACAGAAAGTGGTTGAGGCCAAAAAATTGAATGCTTTCAAGAAGGAGTTACATGTATTCTTAGGCCTAAAGGGATCAAAAGGGTGTGGGGAGAAAGCGGGAACAGGGGACTGAGTTGGATGATCAGCTGTGATTATTTTGAATAAGGAGCAGGCTCAAAGGCTACTCCTGATTCTATTTCTTATGTTCCTTCACAGTCATTGAGTCAAAATCCTGGAACTCTCTTCCTAACAGTATTACAATAGCAACTAAACTCAAGGACTGCACTGGTTCTAGAAGGCAGCTCGCTACCAATTTCTCCAGGGCAACTAGGCATGGGTAATTAATGCTGGCCAGCCAGCAATGTCCACACACTGGGAACACATTTTTAATGAAGAGATGGCTGGTTGACTTGGGCAAGGAGTTAGATGAAGGAGCTGCCCATGATGATTAAAATATTCCCACAGAATACAGTCAGGCAGTTAGAACAGGATCATTATTCCCCACGCAAAATCCTGCAGGTACTGTGGAATCTGAAATAAAAGCAAAACAACATTGGAAAGGTACCTGTGCAGGGTAACGGAGTGAAATGTTCCTGACAACAATAGTTCTGATGATGGGTTAGAGTTAGAACAGGCGCCTTGTCATGAGAGAGGGAGTTTCAGATTAACTGCAGAATATAGACATGAGGGGACAGAGGAACAGAGAAATTACTTTCACAAATATTGTTTCTCTCCATGCCCCTCACTGTATGTGGAGTGAGATGGGACTGACCTGCATCCTCTCAAAGTCTGGGAAATCTCCTGCCGAGATATGGTGCTCCAACTGGATGTTTCTGAAGATTTCTGGCAGATTGGAGATCAGCTGCTTCTTCTTATTCTCCTTCCTGAGGACACCTCGCATTTCTTTCTTCAGGTAGCTCATGATATAGGCATGGACCTGGAGCAGGAGACAGGAGAATCACATTAAAATATCTGCTGACCAGCAGCTCCGACTACACAAGAGGCCAGGATGACAGACAGACAGCGTCTGGGTAAATGATCCAATCAGATCTACCCTTGGAATTCTGCCGTAGACTTCTCCAGTGCCAATCAGATAGCTGGATCTCCAGTGTTACATTGAGCCAATCAGACAGTGATCCCCACCATTAAATCAAGCCAATCAGTTTGCAGGACCTTCAGTATTGCATTGAGCCAATCAGACAGTGTGATCCCCAGTGTTAAATCTAGCCAATCAGATAGCAGGATCATCAATGTGGAATTCAGCCAATTGGACAGTGAGATGAGTGGAGTGAAATTGAGCTAGTGAATCGAGGGATCCAGCAGCGTGGAACTGACCAAGATAGAGGGGATCTGGTCAGTCTGTGGATCTCCGTGCCATTTGTAAAATCTTAAATCACCTCCCACTTGGAGTTGGGATGGGGAGATTGAATAAAGAGCTACTTTTGCAGCTGAAGAAATGGTTTGTTTCCGATTCCAGGAAAATGTCCCTGGCCTGATCCAATTCACAAAGTACAGGTGTTCCAGCTGCTGGGGTATAGGCAGCCAGATCTTTAATAGCCCTGGGCAATGGTTCATCTACCAGGTATCTCCCTGGATCTTGGCTTCACCTCGAGAATTTGATTCCAAATTACAGATTGGATATGAACTTGAGGGAGAGCAGAGATTGGAGAAGAAACACAGGATCAGAAACCCACTCTGGCTGATCTCTATCTCCACTCCAATTCGCCAGATATTGTTCCAAACTGTCTGACCTCATTCAGCATTCCCAGTTTCCATCAGCCCAACCCCAGATGCCTCCAATTACTGGATCCTAAATTGTCAAATTCCTTTCCTACTGCTCTCCATCTCTCTATCCTCCGTTAAGACACTACTTAAAACTTACATCATTGTCCAAACTAACAGAGAAAATAGGGGCAAGGATAGGTATTCAGCCAATAGAATCTGCTCCACTGTTCAACATGATCACAACTAATCCTGTATCTCAATGCTACACTCTCACTGTCTCCCTATATCCCTTGCCTCTAGCCTCTAGAAATCTGTCTTCAGTCACTTTGGCTTTCACTGTTGTCTGTGATAGTGAATTCCACACAGGTTCACCATCCTCAGAGTGAAGACATTTCTCCTCATCTCAGTCCTAAATTATCAATCCTGTATCCTTCTGGTTACTTGCCCTGTTATTTCTTTACATAGTCATAGAGTCATACAGCATGGAAACAGAACCTTCGGTCCAACCAGTCCACATCAACCATGATCCCAAACTAAACTAGTCCCACCTGCCTATGCTTGACCCATATCCTCCAAACCTTTCTTATTCATGTGCTTATCTAAATGTCTTTTAATTGTTGCAACTGTACCCGTATCCATCACTTCCTCTGGCAGCTCACACATGAACCACTCAAAAAATTACCCCTCATGTCTTAGAGTAGAGTCATAGAGTAATACAGCATGGAAACAGGCCCTTCAGCCCAAACTGGTCCATGCTGACCATGGTCCCCACTCAGCTAGTTCCAATTGCTCGCATTTGGTCCATATCCCTCAAAGCCCTTCCCAACCATGTACTCATCCAAATGTTTTTTAATGTTGCTATTGAACCAGCCTCAACCACTTTCTCTGGCAGCCCATTCCATATACACACCGCTGTCTGTGTGAAGAAGTTGCCCCTCAGATCCTCCTTAAATCTTTCCCCTCTCAGCTTAAACCTATGCCCTCTAGTTTTCAATTCCCATCCCTGGGAAAAAGACTGTATGCATTCATCCTATCTATGCCCCTCATGATTTTATACACCTCAGTAAGGTCACCCTTCATTCTCCTATGTTCCAAGAAATAAAGTCTTGTCCTGGCCAACCTCTCCCAATAACTGGGGCCGACTAGTCCTAGCAACATCCTTGTAAATCTCCTTTGTACACTTTCCAGTTTAACTATAACAGAGTGGCCAAAACTGTACACAATACTCCATGTGCTGCCTCACCAATGACTTATACAACTGTAACATAACGTCCCAACTCCTACACTCAATGCCTCGACCGACGAAGGCCAGCATGCTAAATGCCTTCTTCACCATCCTGTCCACCTGTGACGCTGCTTTCAACAAACCACGTACTCGTCCTCCTAGGTCCCTCTGTTCCACAACACTCCTCAGGACCTTCCCATTTACTATATAAGTCCTACCTTAGTTTGACTTTCCAAAGTGCAACACCGCACACTTATCTGTATTGAAGTGCATTTGCCAATCCTCAGCCCACTTCCCCATCTGATCAAGATCCCGCTGTAATTTTTGATAACCTTCTTCGCTATCAATGATACCTCCTAATTTTGTATCATCCGCAAACTTCCTAATCATGCCTTGTATGTTCACATTCACATCATTTATGTAAATAACAAATAATGAAAGTCCCAGCACCGACCCCTGTGGCACACCACTACTCACAGGCCTCTGTGTCCATTTTAAATCTCTCTCCTCTCACTTTAAAAGTGTGCCCCCTTGTCTTGAAATTCCCCCACCCGAGGGAAAAGACACCTGCCATTCACCTTACCTATGCCCCTTTACTCTATTTTTTGTCTTACAACAATCCTGTGCAGTGCCCGAATATGATTGTCCCCCAACGCAGCAGATGGTGAAATTTGAATTCAATAAAAATCTGGAATTAAAATGGCAAACACATACCACTGTCAATTGTTGTAAAAAAAAATCCTTTAGTGAAGGGAATCTGCCATCCTTACCTGGTCTGGCCTACATGCGACTCCAGACACACAGCAACGTGGTTGATGCTTAACTACCCTCTGGGCAATTAGGGATGGGCAATAAATGCTAAGTCCTTAAAACTCATTAAAAATATAAAGAGGGGTTGGGAACAAAAACCAAGTTGCTGGAAAAGCTCAGCAGGTCTGGCAGCATCTGTGAAGGAGA